GAGCAATGTGCAACCAAAAAAGAGCGATGGGAACCAAGAGACTTGGTGTTTAAACAAGAATCCTGCTGCTATCCCCAGGGAAGGGCCCTTCACTTCACATATCCCTATTTTCTCTCGCTCTGTCAAAATCTGAATTGATGAAAAGCAGCTGAGAGTCCTTGCCACCACGGCAATTTTTCATCACTCTGCAAGATTCAGCCCAATGTAAAGAAATCATGGGGTTTTTTTCCTTCCAGCTTCAGGCAGGTTGAAGCTTGAATACAAAAGAAAATGCAGCAAGTCTAACACAGAGAAGGAAATGCGTATTTGTATGTCTTTATAGCTTGTAATTACTTTTGCAATAGTTATACAATACCTAAAAAGCATTGACAGATACCTTTCTGTAGATAAACATGTAAGAAATAAGAAAAAATGCATTCAGATTGAACAGAAATGTTCCCATCTAGACATCTGGCTGATGGAAAACTGAAGATTCATTTTAAATCATAGATTTGCTGGTCACTTGTCACTCGTGGGCACACTAGCAAACCTGTGTCTGGCAAAGTCAGAGCTTGAGAACATACACATTTATCATAGAATAAATTTCCCTTAAAACAAACAAACAAACAAAATCAACCCTGGCTTTCCCATTAAAAGTCTTGAAAGCAGCACCATATCTTCTGGTCATCTGGTTTTATGATCAATAACTCTAGAGCATAAAATGGTTAAGTTGTTAATCCAAGTCCTTCATGGAAGAGCAGAATTAGTGTTAACATGCCCCCAGGACACGTGTTCATTTTCACATACAATTTTAACACTAAGTGCTAATGTGAGAATCAATATTTTCAGCCTAGGTAAGTCTGCGTGTGCACCACAGCAGAGGAAGCAGCATGGTTATGCTGCCATCCAGTGGACACACATTGCTGAGCTGTAAATATCTTTCTGGAACAAGATAAAAGAATGTCAGGGCTGTACTAAAAATTTTGGAGTTTTTTTTAACACTATGCTGAAGAATGTCTGCATTCTCCAGCTGTTCAATTATTCATATGTAAATTATTGGGACAGATTTTACTGTAAACTCTCCCAGGTTCTCTGACAACCGTCAGTCACCATAATAACATAGGAAAAATCTGTTTGTGCGCTCCTCAGGTGTATGACTATGTCCTATTTAAATTCCCAGATTATATCAGATGTGTAGAAGTCCTGGTGGTAAAAAAAGGGATGTGGGGTCCTTTCAAACTGACAGTGAGAATGGTTATTTAAATTCCCAGATTATATGAGATGTGTAGAAGCCCTGATGGTAAAAAAGGGATGTGGGGTCCTTTCAAACTGACAGTGAGAATGGGGCTTTAATGGGTGCTTTTGTGATGGCACAAGAAAGATTTTTCACTATCTACAAGCTGATAGAAGACCGTTTAAAAATTTGTAAAAGCTGCTGGCCAAAAGTTAATTTATGGTGCAAAAGTTTAGCTCTAGTGAGCATGCTCTACTTCATATAATTTTTGGCTTCTTTTCTTCACAGCATTTTTTTCTGGCATTCTACAGCAAAGTTTATCAAAGCTTCTGTCTTTACAGCCAATTCCCACTGAGCAAAAAAAAAAAAAAGCAGCTCACTGAAACATGATCGTTCTCTTCTTAGCCTGAAAATGTTGCTTAAAATCACTATTCCGATTTTTCAAAATAAACGAATTCTATACTTTTTACAAAATTTATTTCTCAGATAAGATCAACTGAATACATTTTAATTTTTGAAAAGGAAAGAATCTAATGTTACCTTCATTCATAAAGCTATTCTCTATATATATTAGTGAAATATGAAGTATGCTTTCTAGTGCTTTTTATAACACTGTTTTTACTGGGGAAAAAAAAAAAGTAAAAAATTTGAAAGTGGAGCTGCAGACAATACTCCCCTCTAGGGGCCAAAACAGAATTTGCAGCGTTCCATTCAGGAGCGCTTCATTTGTAAATCACATTAGTGAAATAAAACTAATAGGTCCTCCCAAGTGAAACACAAGCAGAATTATTAAGTCATTCCCCACAGAGAACACGGCTGTCTGTGAAATCTGTCTAGAGGACACGTTGTGTTCCTGTATTCACACAGAAGGGCTTTAATGGCACACATATACAGAAGCCTATTTATCAGATTTCCCTAGCAACACACATCCCATCAACTTCCGACCCAGACGACGTATCGTCAAATGCAATATGCGAGGTGCACATTTTTCTTTATAAGTAAACACGTGTGTCATGGAAACATATGTCCTGACGAGTACTAAAGCTGGAAGTTTGCTCAGCTGCTCATACTTGGTATATTTGGAAGTGAAATAGGATGGAAGGTCAGCATTGGCTCGGCTGCTTTCCTCCCCGTCATTCAGGCAGCCAGATGCAAGGTTGCAAAAGCAATTCAGGCATCTCTGTCAATGACAGAGGGTCCAATCCTCCCCACACAGAATACTCCTACGTACAGTCTGGGAAGCTCGCAATTCCTCCTTGGAAACGAGGAGAATGCAGAGCTAACAGAGGGTTGTCTACACATCCCCAGATCCTGAGAACTGAGTAAGCCTGATGGGAGCTACAGGAACTGGGGCTCAAGCCTCAGCTGAAACTCAGTACTTCACAATGCACTACCACTGAGACAAGCAGCTCCCCCCAAAAAAAGCCCAGTGTTATGTATCTTCCCAAGAAAAGCCATCCTAGGTAACTCTGCTAGCTGTTCCCTTTGTTAGAAAACTCAAGGAAGCTGAAGGGGCTGGCTGCTTGTCACAGTCACCTCTGAACAGGTCGGGAGGGGACCCTTAAGCCACCCTGTGGCACAGAATGGCTCTCCTTCTAAAGAAGCACAGCTCCATGCATGTTACAAAAGCAGGCTTCTGACTCATGTTTAAGCAGAAGGGATAGACACTTGAAAGTTATTACTTGTAATAGTGGAAAGCAAGCTGATTTAAAAACTTTGCAATCTATTCACCACATATACTGTGGTTAGTAGAAATGTTATTTCCATAGACAATATTCTAACAAAAAAAAGGTTAAGTTGTGTGGTTTTTTAGGTTACAAAAGCATTCTGTTCTTTCTGTAGTGTACAAAATCATCAATTCCAAAAAATCAGGAGAAAAGGAGCTGAGTGGGATGATGTGAAAGTCTGTGTCACATCCATATTTTTCTCCAGCTGCATATGCTGAGCTTTTCCTCAGTAGGGTACCTGTGGGACTTGAAAATATTGTGCCATTTTCACCAGAAAGGCACCTTGAGTAGAGTAACTCAGATTCAGTGATAAGCTCACCTAGGTCTAGTTCACCCAGGTCTCACTCTGCTAGCTGTGGTGGCTTAGCTCCTCACCTCATGAATCAGGATTTCGCTGCATTTGTTTAACATTGCAAAAAGCAGTGCTTGCATGGAAATTGTGCAATTTGGCCCACAACATCATGTCCTGCTCCAGGCTGAATGTGAGTCTGATCTGGACTCCACTGACACAAGTAATTTACACAAATAATGGGGAATTGCCACTGCTGCAATCTCTGGAGTGGTAATTACATAGTCCATGCAGCAGTGAGACTGGTTTTAAGACTGGCATTACTAACTTTTTTTGTGACATTTCTGTGATAGCCATTTGGACTTTTAAGTGTGTCCTTGCATCCTCACATTTTTTGGTTTATTATTGCAGTGATCACTAATTTGGAGCTAGTACATACAGCAACACACATAATAGAAGGGAAAATTAGGATGGTTTTTCCTTCTTTTAAACATGACTTCCATCATGTCTTTTTAGTGCTAATGCAATTAAAATTGGGATGATCTAAAGTTGTAAGGACATACGTAAGGATACCCTGTATCTCCTTTTCCTCCCATAAGAAGGGATTTAAGATTAGGCTCAAAAACCTCAAACATATCTGAAATACCTGAAATAAAACCTGAGAAGCTCCAGGTCCCTGTGTACAGAAGCATAACCCTCTTGAGCCTCAACAAGTCTTAACCACAAGGCCCATGAGTGAGCCTGGGACTCGTCCTGGCAGCAGGCAGGACTGAGTGACTCCACAGCAGGACACGGCACCAGCTGGAGCTCAGCTTCCCACACATGGCTGGGGGCTGCCTGCTGAAAACCCAGTCACCTCAGTGCCCAAATTCAGCCTCCTGAGCACTTTGCAAGGTCTCAGGCACCACTCTGGGCTCATTTATGGAAAGTTCAGAATAACCCTTTGTTGCTCAGTAGGTTTTTCCTTTTATGTCTTTTTAAAGTTGTCCATATGACTATGGTCTTGGGGAAAACCCTGTTGAAAATAGACAGCAGTCTTAATTACTACAGGCTAATTACCTTTAATGAGCAAATTTCCATACACTGCTGTGAGACTTGTCCTGAAAAGAATTTCAGACACCTAAAATCATTGATGTTATATCTTCTATCTGCATTATGCAATGATGATTCTTGGCAGTATACTCAAATCAGAAGAGGAATACATCTCTGAAGATCTGAGACACCCATTTGCTCCTCGGTAATATAATGTCCCAGCTTTGTTTGCAGGATTGTACTTGCTAAAGCAGCTTCACAGTGCTGCTAGCTCATGTCATTTACCCCTATGATCATTTGCCTTTTAGCACAATTAGTCAAATTAATAAAAAAAATAATATAACAAAAGCTCCAAGGGTTCAAGATGTACTGCCCCAGAACAAAGTCTCAGTTTCTGGTCTTGGATACTGTTTTCCTGCAGACTGCACTACAGCTGCAAACACAAACAGTAAGAGAGAACAGATCATCTTAAAAAAGCTGAACTGAATCATCAAATCTGTTGAGAATATGCTTTCCATTTAATCAAAAGAAATAGTTAAGCACTAGCACCATTCAGAAGCTACTAATTAATCTGTACTTGAAGGCTACAATTATATTTTTCATTTTTCTTGATATTCATACAAATATGTGTGAAAGATTGGTTCCCTGGCTCTACTAGGAATGGAGAAAGTGATGGTCCCCACAAGTAATTGTAGTTATCTGGAAATCAGCATCAGAAGACATCAACCCTGGCTATTACCTCATGGTATACAGCAGAGTGCCATCATCCTCCAGGCGCAGGAGTTTGTTTGGGGTTGTCATGTTGTGAGCAATAGACTTCTTGCCATTGTGGAAAAAAGTATCTGGGGTCCAGATCTTGCTGGCGAGCAAGTTGTTAAGAGGGAGGCGTTGCATAGGTCCTTTGAATCGCAGCCTTTCATCTTTCCAACTTTGTCGGAAAAAAACGTCAATGGTGTATTCCTGGCACAAAGAAACACTCAAGGTATTGCAGGATATGAATAGAAATGATGGTTCCAAAAATTACTTTAACAAAGTAAATACAACTGAGTTGGCAGCCACATGCTAACTTACCATTTCTGTGTCTGACACAGGACCAAAACTGGTAACATAGATGTCTGTTTTCACCTGAGTTATTCTCTCTGTAATAAACACAGGCTCCACATCAGTAATGGCTTTAAAATGCAAATACATACTGGCAGTGTTTATTTCTATTAATTTTTGAATCACTCAAAAATCCCCAAAAGACTGAAATTAAGAGCATGCTTGAGTAGGCATCTCATCGTGTATCAATGCAGTTGTTGACCTTTGGGAGTCCAGGCTTTGTTCTTACAAACAGAAAGAAACCAGCCCTTCAAGGGTGCATTTCCTCTGACTGACAGTTTTTGATCATAGAGACACAGGATGGTTTGGGTTGGAAGGGACTTTAAAGATCATCTAGTTTCAACCCCTTGCCATGGGCAGAGACACCCTTGACTAGATCAGGTTTCATTGAGCCCCATCCAACCTTGACCTTGACCACTTCTACAGATGGGGTATCCACAGCTTCTCTGAGAAACGTGTTCCACTGCCTCATACACCCTCAAGGTAAAGAATTTCTTCCTAATCTAAATCTACCCTCTTCCACTTTAAAACCATTACCCCTCATTCTATCACTCCCTCTTTCCTCTAAGCACCTTCAGGCAATGGAAGGTTTCTATAAGGTCTCCCCAGAGCCTTCTCTTCTCCAGGGTGAAGAACCCCCAACTCTCTCATCATGTCTTCACAGGAGAGGTACTCCAGCTCTCTCATCATCTTAGTAGCCTCCTCTGGACTCCCTCCAACAGGTTCATGTCCTTCTTATGCTGAGATTCCAGAGCTGGACACAGTACTCACAAAAGCAGAGGGGAAGAATCTCCTCCCTCAACTTGCTGGCCACTCTTCTTTTGATGCATCCCAGGATGGAATTGGCTTTCTGGGTTGTCAGTTAACACTGCCAGCACTCACACAATACCTACCACAGGATCACATTAAGTGTATCTTGAAAGGACTTACTCCCCTCTGCTGGCTTGGGGGATCTGCCTGATTCCAGACATCTATCAGACATGTCCGAAGTTAGGTCAAATTATTTCTACCCTCAAGTCTCTAAGTCCTTTTGGCATCTTTTCAAATCCAGGTCTAATTTAATTTAAGGGCAAAAATTTCAGAAGTTTGTTATATAAGATAAAAAGCATCGAGCCCTATTTTCAAGCATCTCTGTGTAAAGTGAGAGGAGAAGGAGAGAAAGGGATGAAAGCAATGTGTTGGTCTCACAAGAGGAAGGGGTGGGGGTAGCCAGATTAAAAAAGGGCCAGGAAGAAACATAACAGATGGTTTACACATGGGTAGAAAATGAGAGAAATCTGGGGGAAAGAGAGCTGAAGGAGGGCTCAACAAGGTTAGGATGGCAACCACTATTCACATGCTATGGTTTTAAAATAGCTGCTGTAGAGGTTATCAAAAAGACATATCAATACAGATTTGCTGTACTTGTCTAAATATGGATCATTTGGGGATCTGTTTTTAAAAGAGATATGCATTACCAACATAATTTTATACAGGCTGACCAGTAAGGCAATCTTGCAGCAACCTAGTATCACAATGTCTTGCTCCCCTTAGGAAATATCAGAAAGAAAAACTCAAACTATATTCAATTACTGAAAAAAATGTATCACACGATGCTCTCCTAAGCCAACCTCAGATGACCTGGGTGACTGAAGAACATGACTTTCAGTAATCTTTTTCTTGTGCCCCATTTGCTAGGAGACAAATCTGCTTTCTGGACTTAGTTTAGTTAATCAAGCACAAGTCCCTTGTCACAGCTAAGAGCAGGTACCCAGCTGAGAGGGCACATGTAGACAATGCTCCTGTCTAGCAGGGGACAACACGTTATCCTACCTCCCAGTCCTGGGCGCAGTCTGTTGTCGTAGCCGTCCAGCAGACCATCCAAGATCCTGGTGAATATAGTGATGTTATCATTGGCCTCCTCTTTTACTGATGGTGTTGGCGTTTGTGAAAAGCTGTTTTATGCAAACAAAAGGAAACATGTCAAAAGCCATGCTGGTTTCAAGGGGCTTCAGTTTCAAGGGAACTTTGTGATGGAGCCTCCAAGGCTGTCTCCTCTCCTGCAGCTCCTGAACAGTACAGGGAGCTGCAGCCATTTGTTTCATCATTACTATAAACTTGTCCCTGGAGGAGGACCCAAAGAAGGACCCACACCATGGAGGTAAAACCATGGGATGAAGGACCAGGGGACACCTGAACCCTTTGATCTTTGCCCATAATGCACAGGCAGATCCCTGTCCCCTGCTCCCAAACCAGCCCCACCACCTCCCCAGTGCTGGCATGGCTCCATCCATGGCAGGGAGCAAGGTCAGCTGACAGCATTGCCAAAAACTGTTACTGGTTTTCCCTGGGTTAGCTATCCATTCCTTGGGAGCTACACTAGCTGGCTGGGGAGCTGCATGAGAAGCACAGGTTTGCCTGGAGATGCACCTTCAAGTATGCCTGAAGGTGCTGTTCAATCTTTAAATGCCAAATAGCTTCTAATTTTCAAAGTTTCTATAATTTATTGCCAGAACAAAGGATGAACTGTGACCTTATTTGAGGATAACAAACTCCCACTACATTGAAAAATCCTACTGGGGTATCACTGGGGTATCTGAAAAACATACTGCTGTACAGAAAACACAGTTCTTCACTCCTCCTCTCTCTTTTGCATAAATTAGTTCTCCCTTGTAGTATGCAAATAACAGCAATGTGTAGTGGGCCTCATTCCATATCTTTTGGGCCACATTTGTTTTTATTCTGAACTCTTTTTTATTTCATTATTTTATCCATGGCTCACACCTAGGAAGCTGCTCACAGCACAACTAACAACACACATTTTTAAATCTGTTTGATTTTCATTTAAAGATGCTTAGGAGAATCCCCTGCTTATTAATGCCTTTGCTTACCTAAAGAATAGACATGGGAGATTATCCACAAGCGTGCTTCACCTGCAGCAAGCAATGAGCATCTCTTAAGACAGCTCATGCTAGGCACTTATTCATGATTCAGCCTCTGCTGAGATCACCAGCAAATCCTCCAGCTGTGACAGGGCACACCGCCCCCCCAGGAACTGCTCCCTGCCTCATGCACCCTGCCAGCAGGCAGGAATAACTTACACTCAGCAACCTGAACTTGATAGGAGACAGTCATCCAGATATTAAAAAAATTTTAAAAAAAGAATACATGATTATTTACTACCAGTCCCCTGGAAAATAAATCTGTAAATAAATAGAGAAGCTCTCAGCATCTCTCTGAACAGCTTTCCTTGAAGAATACTTGTAACATATGTGGTTGCCTTACCTAACAGAATAGGATTCATACAAAGAAAGAAAAAGGGACCTCAGCCTGGTTTTACCTGCATAAGGTTTCCACTAATAACACCCCTGTAGTGCATCTGGAAGTTTTAATGACACCAGACCTAGCTCAGAACAAGCTGCTCTCAGCCATGTATGCCCTCACAGACTCGGGCACCCCCAGTCCTGCCCTTGTTCCCTTTACAGTTTGTATGCTTCTGCTGAAAGAGGAAGGGATTGCAAAGCCTCTTAGGACACGGGAGTAAGGACAGGTCAAGGGAGCACAGATGTGATTCCCTGAAACACCAAAGCCCATGAAAACGCCTGGTTGAAGAGGTTTCTTATGACCTAAGTGCAGCTGGCACTTCTGCAACCCTCAGCAAGCTCCACACTGCAGAGCCTTGGGGGCCTTCGGGCCACCAAGGATCTCTGCTCACTGCAGGTAGAGGCATAGCCACAAACTTGCCTGTTTTTCATCTCCATGGTCAAAACACCAAATTAATTCTGTTTTCTTTGCTGTGACAACAATATCTAGTGAGCAACTGAGGCAGACAAGAAAAAAGTTAATCCAGCAGCTGCAAACTGATTACAGAAACAATTAGAAATGTTTTCAGGCTGGACAATTCCAGAAAAAAGACTGTACACTTTTTTGTCAATTGTAATTGAAGGGATTCACCATTTAAAAGTGAATATACACAAGTAGCAGCCTAACAAATGTAAACAGGAGACAGAACTTGGAGAATTTCTTTAAATGCAGCAACCACAATGAATGCTTTGATAAAATCCTAGTATAAAGCATGAAAATCCAGTACACCTAGAATACTATTTTTGACTCTTCTCATCTATTTTATCTTTTCTTTTTCATAAGAAAGAGATATGCATCATGCTGTCTGCCTGCTACACTGCATCAACGTAGGAACCCATTTTCATTTTCCGCTGCATCTGACAAAGAAGCAGAGAGATCAAACTTCATTTCATTCCTACAACTTTCATGAGAAGCTGTGACTAGACAAGGGGAGAGCAATCTAAATTAGTGCCTCATTAAGTAAAAATGTGAGGTTAGCAGTCACCTATTCCCTCTGGCTCGATGACTGGGCCACTCAGTATGCATGTAGCTCAGAAACAGCCTCAGTAAGACCAGCCCCCCTCCTCTGTGACAATTAAGAGATATGGAGAAGACTTGCAGGTCATTATGAAAGATCTTGGGAGAAAAGGACAGTGCAGGTAAAATGTAGGTGTTGCAATGGGAGATGGGAACAAGGAATATCAAATGTGGAGCTGGGATTATTGCAAAGATGCAGTGCTGGGGGCACAGGACACAAAGCTTCACTAGTTTCTCTGCTCTTTAAAAAGCCTGTTATTTTTAGTGCTTATAGCTGAATTCAAAGCCAATTGAACTCTGAGGGAGGATTTCCATTGAACTATTTTTGTGGGGATGGGACAAAATATATTTAAATCTCAGAACTGCTCCTCTCAATCTAACAAGAGTAACTGATGTTACTTTCTTCTATCTCAGCTATGTATGTCTTTCACAGGAACAGCACACACACACCATACACTGAAATACTTTTATTTCTTAACCACAAAAGCTAATTAATAGAGGAAAAAGATGGAGAAACAACTATGGTGAAGACTAGTAAAAAGTCTGCACTTCTGCAAAACTGCAATCTAATTTAGATTTGGCAGATCACTTCACCCAAAAAAGAATGCATCTGATTCCGAATTTCAGTGAAATGCCAGTATTATGTGAAGTTGCATTTGTAGATGGGTTGCTGTTTGCTCTTATGTAAGTGTGACTTTTTCTGTCTTAACAGAAAGTTAGTATGTAATTTCTGTTATTGAGATTGCTGTTGCTGGTGAAATGCATGTTTTTGAGTAAGGGCTGAGATTGTCGTGACATGTAAAAAGACATATAAACTCTACTTGCAAAGTTACATGCACACATTAGATACTATATAGCTAAATGAACAGAGAGAAATAGGTGCTACCTACCCTAAACTAATTATTTCCACACAGCTAAGGATTAGGCTTTATCAACATATTAGTAGGTAAGCACATTATTGCCTCTCTGCAGTGAAAAATGTTTTTATAGCAGAAATTTTCAGTTAGGGATAAAAATAAACCTATAAAAGCATCTTAGGGAAATGCTAAGAAAATTCAGAGATAATTGCATTTAAAGCTCATTATTGAACATAAACTGTACCAACCAGGAATACTTCTCATCACATTTATTTAATATTGCAATTTTAGGGTAACTGAAAAAATCAGAAGCCACAGAAGGGGCCCATCAGTGTAAAATGTAATAACTCTCTAAAGATGCTCAGCTACCTCTTCTGATGACTTCATAATTTACCACTTTAAACATCATTGTCTTTTTTGCCATCTAGTCAGAATCATGGTAGGTACTACTCACAAGTTAGCTGTGATAAGAGGAAAAAGTATAGTAGGTATTTAATGATTTTCCCAAAACTTCTTTAAAAAGAAAAGGTAAGAATTTCTGAAAATATAACTGAAGAGTATTTTACTACTGAAAGATGTATTTTACTCTCTCTCTTTTAAGAGCAGTGTTTCCAATAACTTGTTTTAATAGGATTGCAATTATATCTGAACTTCAGACAAATTAACAGTTTGTGGAAGACAGTGGAGAACACAAACTTCTGGATAAAGCCAGGTGGCCAGGCATCAAAGGAAATATATTTACTTTTCTAAGTTAGCTTCTTGCCACTCCTTCGGTATGGATTCTTGAGATCTAAAAATGTTGATTTTGTGAATTTGTGCACTGAAGACTCAATTCTTTCACATCAGATTAGAACAGAAGACTGACTAAAATGATGAAATTTTAAAACTGTTTTCAGATTCTTAAAAAATAATTTAATTCTTTTGTTTAGCAAGAGCAGTATTTTACTGCCTTCAGGAAGGAGCAGTTTGTGAGCAGTGCAGTGAAAGCCTGTTTTTCACAGGGTGACATCTTACAGTCCTCCCTATCCCCCAACATCCTAATGCCCCTTTCGATGTCCTGAACTGCTTCCAGGGTCCTTAAACACCTGCCAGCACTCTCAGCTCCCCAGGTCACTGACCTGCAGCTTCACTGGGAGGCACTGCATGCCAGGGCTTCTCCTGCACCAGGCAGAGCTGGATGGCCTGAGGGACACTCCTGCTCTTTGGCCAGCTGGCAGGCCAGAGATGCTGAAGCCGTACAGCTGTTCGGCTGAACAGGACTGACTGATACCTGTCTGCCTCCTGCATGCAATTCCAGATAGCAATTTAGTTTTCCAGTTATTAAAATTGTCTAATGGGTTCAAAAAGCTATCTGGAGATACGAAGATTGAAAGGAAGAAAGAATAAAAAAATAAACAGACAAGCATGACTGCATAAAGATACAATAATTCTTACAAAATTAGTCTTTAAAAATATGAGGAAGAACTCCCTAGCATCACAAGTACTTGAAATGAGGTATCCCAGCAGAACAAACTGCTTAGGGCTGCAGAGACTAACTTGAAATAACAGCCTGAAGGAGAGGTATGTTTTGCCTAAATAGCAGGATTATGGTCTTAGTAATAACGGCTGTGAGCTGGAGAAGTATGTGAAAATACAGACACACCATGGACTGAATTCTTCAGAGTGTACAGAGAAGTGCTGCGTTGGCTACACATAATTGGGATCTTCTGTTCTCTGTGTTTCTGCTATTATAAATATTATTAGCAGATGGCAACTATACTGTGGGTACATGAACAAGGTCCATCCCTGTTGGTTCTGGCTCTTAGACAGATCTCTGAAATTGCACATCCACAACGCAAACACACGAGGACTGTGCATCACCAGTGTGACCCCATGGACAGCCTGGGACTTGCAAAGTAAGAGCTTGGGGCCAGCCACGGGCTACCTCATCTCAGGGAGAGCTGTGTGTAAGCAGCCAGGTAGTGGCAGCAACCCTCACAGGGCTGCCACTACCTGGGCACCCTGAGGGCTCACAAGCAATATTTTATCTCACCTGAAAATATTCTTCATGGCTTTATTCTACTTTTAATCGTCCTCTAGCTTTATTATTAATGTTTTCTTTTGAGACAATTGTAAGGTACCTTGAAATGCTTAGGTAAAATACCTTAACTTGTTAGAGCATTATACAACTCAAGGCTGAATTCAAACAGACTAGAAAAAAGCTTTGATTCGTGCTGCTGGACCATTTCTGCAGAAGAAGACTCACAAAACTGTTATACCAAAAGCAGGAGGGGGGGAGTTCAAAACCTCTTCTCAGTTCATCTATATCTTTGCAGCTAGAAAAAAGCTTTGATTCGTGCTGGACCATTTCTGCAGAAGAAGATTCACAAAACTGTTATACCAAAACAGGAGGGGGGGAGTTCAAAACCTCTTCTCAGTTCATCTATATCTTTGCATTTTAATTCAGTGATTTTTTTTTAGATAGCTGCTACCAATTATGTCTACAGTCCTCCTCTACTGCCTACTAATGTGGATAATTCTCTATAGTCATTACACATTTATGTTTAACATTAATCACAGTCTTTTGCTGAGATTTCTCAAGTAGCCTAGTAGATTGAGATACATAATTTCTGTTTATGTTACCAGGCATTTTGCATCAAAATCCCCCAAGGTGGCTTTGGCTATGTCAGCAAAAACCATATTTATGATTTAATATAAAGACAGAATGATTATGGAGAACTATAGAAAAATATCTGCCTTCATCTGTAATGTCCTACACTATTCTGATTTTTAATTTGTACTCCTTTGACCAATCACTTTTATCTAGCACATTGCAAAACTCACTGCAATATAACAGGGCAGTAGAAACATGGATGAAGCTAATAAAGAAGAATCTGGTAGCAACAGCAAGTGTTATCAGTATTAGATTCCTGCAGTTAATACAGCAGCCTACATGTTAATTGTACTCCTCCGTCCTGAAGAGTCAGTCCCAAAGCACTTAGCAAATTACACTCTGAAACTGTTTCTGCCTCTGAAGCAGAAGCACTGGAGCATCCTCTGTCTTTCTAGCAGGGTCAAAATTCAGCCCTAAGGCAGTGTGTGAATGGTGCAGTGAATTGGAGCTGCTTATCTCTGCAGGCCTGGACTAAAATTACTGGATCAGAAATGGGGGGCAAGGGGGATGGGGTGGGGGGAATTTACATGATGATCTCATTTTAGTGCACAGAAGCTTTTTGACTAACTTGCAGAAAACAAGTGTCCTAGTTTCCTCTAACTGTCCTATTCTGGTTATCTGCCAGGTTACAGGTCACACTGACCTGTACCTGGGACTTTGGTTCAGTATTTGCCCTGGAGTCAAGAAAGAGTTAAACTGTCTGGGTTTTGGGTTGTTTGTTTTTGGGTTTTTTGAATCCTCATCTATCTATTCTTCTGTTAGAGGAGATACACACTTAAAAGACCCACACACCAAGCAGGTCACACAACTATTGCAATATGCTGCCTTCTGCAGGGATGACGAACAACCAAGAAGTTGTTATAGTCACCAAGATTTTCTCAATGTGGAAATACTTTGTCAAACTACAATAATGTAAAGACAAGTTTAAAGCAAGTCCCACTCTGCCCTCTTAAATTCTGTCACAAAATCCTGGGACACTTTTGTCTTAGACCATGGTGAAAGAAGGACCAGGTTTTTCCAAGGTGAATAGGTGAGTGTGCAACTCTTTGCATCCTTTGTAGAGTGCAGTCCTTCAACTGTCCATAGAAACCTCAGAGGTTACAGGCTTCCACCTACCTGCATGGGACACGTGCTGGATACCAGGCTAAGCTTTGCATACAGCAAAAACATCACCACTCAAAGTTTGGTCTTTCTCCTAGTTCCAATCTGGAACAAATCCGTTTGCTTGAAATCAGAAACTGATTTGCATCTCCATTTTGTATCTTCTTATAGCAAGGAATTGATGGGTGCGCTTGTGAATCAGCATGTTGGGAGGATTCATTTTTTCCTGGTGAAATCATAAATAATTGTTCTCCTCCACAAAGAAGAATCAACCTACGTTTCCCAAGCACTTGCAAAATGCTTTTTCCAGGTTCCATTGTATAGATCATATTCAGAAAGTTCTTAAGGTCTCTGGGTATAGGGAAACATGTAAATAGAGGGTTTCTGACTTTATTTTTTATTTTCTGAGACCTACAGTTGGAGCATCTCTTTGATACAGTTTTCAGAATATCACTGTCAGGAAAGCATCCAAAGCAAAAATAAGGAAACGGGATTCCTTTCTATATGCTGCAGGGAAACATGATTTCTAATTATTCTAACAAGTTTCCAACTCAGACATCCTTCTAGAGCAGTCACTATCTTAGGTCAATCAGGAGGAAAGCCTGTACCAGCTAGTTACATGCATCAAGTCTCACTAGTCTCACTTTGGGGCTTTTTTTTGCACTACTGCCTATAACCAGCACCCATCAGGTGAGAGGGAAGGTGCAAGATCCCGACATCACAGACACAGGGGCAGAGGGGACCACAGCCCCCGGCTGTTCTAAACCCAGGTCAGAGCACTCAGCAGCTGTAGGCCTGATCTGAGCTCCTTGTGCCCCACAAGCCTTTCCCTGTGTCACCATAGCAGGCATAAAGAACCGACACAAGAGAGCAAAGCATTCCCTTCCCCCCGAAAGCAGCACCTTAAGATGAAACGCAAAGCCCGCTTGTTTTGTTCAGCTGCTCTGTACCAAACGGAGCCAAGGTTTCTCATCTCCTTAAAAAAACACAGCAGAAATTCAAATGCAACTGGCAACTCACCCGAAGTGGCTGGCTAAACTCATGGAAACGCAGAAGAGGAAGAAGTTTTTGATCATGATAAAGTCAGAGACCATCCCATTGTCCATTCCAGAGGAGAAGAGGAACGCAGGTGGTTGCTTTGGTGAAGGTGCAGCTGTTCACTTCGTTCTTACACTGCAACAATACAAAAAATTGATAAATGATTGCGTGGACAGAGAGCAGGATAGCGGAGTTCAGCTAACACCGCATCTTTTGCTATCTGCGTTTTTCACAAACTTATCTAGGCTTATGTAAACATCAGCTGTTTATGTAAAATTGTGTATCTTCAAGGACATGTTTTACCTTCTGCTGTCAGCAAACTGCAAAACAGGAAAAATTCTTTGTGGCCCAGCTTTTCCCAATATTCATCTGTGGTACAAGTAACTAAAAAAATAGCCACCATTTTCCAAATGCCAATTTCAACCCTTTACCTATTTCAACAACTTCCACATGCCTGCAAACCCAGGGCTGTATGCAGCCTCCGCATCCTTTCCTTCCATCACAATTTTTTTCCCATTAAATACCCGGCTTTCCTTTCCAAAATCCCAGTTGAAATGCCAAGAAACACCTACTGCTTCTTGGAATTCATGCTGCTGATGCACGGCTTAGCAAAAGGAGGGTGGGTTGTTGGGGGGGGGGGCGGGGGGAGGAAGAGGGTAAAAAGTGACCTTCCTCGCAAAGGCACATAAACCTCACGCTAGCACGAAGAACGACAGTAATGTAGCTGCTCCAGCGACTGCTGCTTTTTGGATACCTGCCTCAGCGACCAGATCACCAATTTCAGCATTGTGCACTAACGTTTTCCTCTGTGCCCTATTAAAAACAAACAAAAAACCAAAACCACAACAAAACCCCCCAAAAGCCAACGAAACAAAAAACAAACAAACCACCCCGAACCCAACAAAAACCCCAAAACAGCCCTCAAAAACACACCCAGAGGGGAATTGCCTGGGTTTTCCACCTGAACCCTGTGCCCCCGTGCTACATCGCTCAGCAACTTGTTCTCCCACCCCGCCGGAGCCGCAAGGCAAAACGCCCGAACCAAAAGTCGTCCCCCGGGGCTCCCCCGCCCGGCCCTCGCTGCCCCGCTCCGGGTCCCGCTCGCTCCGCACCGGGCACCGCGGGGCCGCCGCTCCCTTCCCGCAGCCCCGACCCGCCCGCACCTGTCCGGAGACCGTCGCTCAGTCGCCGCCGCCTCCCGCGCACTGCGCCCGGGGCGACGCGCTCCGCTCCGCTCGGCGGAGGGTGGCACCTGCCCGCCCGAGCCCGCTCCGCGGTGTGCGGGGCGCGCCCGGCCCTCGGGCACCCGGGGCACCTCCCGGCAAGGAGCCCTCCCGCACCCCTCGCAGCCCCGGGAGGCTTCAGCGGCTCCCCGAGCTCCCCGCACTGGGCTCTCTCGAGCAGCGCCCGGGGCAGAGTCCCGGGCGAGCCCGGCCGGCACCGACTGTCCTCGGGGAGAGGGAGCCCCTGCCACTGCCCGAGCGTGCAGGTGTCGAGTGACCGTGGGGCAGGAGCACCCAGCACGGTCGAGGCTTGCCCGTGTATCGGCTCGTTGCACCACACGTGTATTAGCGTATCTATGTATAAACACACCCCTACATACCCAGATCTTACCTATGCTCCTCTTCCAGTGGGCCTGACCTAAACCATCATAGCTCTTAAATGCTGAAGCGGTAGGCTTATGTCCACAACATAAAGTCTCATTTTACATCCTCAATGTTAGACATCCACAGTTTATATATATATATATATATATATATATATATATATATCATTCCACGAGACCTGCAATAACTTCGAGGTTTCCTTGTGATTGTGTGTGGTGCTATTCCTGAAAAATGGATGCATTGTTTCACAGCTTCAATGATAGGAGCATCACACTCGCTATATGTTCAAGCCACATATATAATGTACTGCTTGCGGGTTCTTTTTGAACTACGTGAAAGATGAAATGAGCTGTATAGTCCCAGTTCCTGGGGATTCCTTGAGATGAATGCAACGTTTTGCAGCATGCACATTTTACACGTGATAATATATTATTTCAGTATACACTGCTGTGACTGTATTTCAAAGTAACACTCCAAACTCAGTTATTAAATTATCAGATCTAATGAGGTAGTGCATGTCTTTCAGGCAACGTTATGGATCAATGAAGCACTTGTTTTTTTTCCCGTATCTGTATAAAAGCTCTATGGAATTAATCCCTCCACTGAAATCAATATTGGTTCTGTAGTTCATTGCCACAGAGGGTGCTGCTCTATGTGTGCCTAGTTCACAGTCTGCACTGAGTTAAAAAATGGTCCTTAGAAATTTCAGTTTACTTTTTTTCCCACCTAATATGTTGCACCAGGGAGAATTTTCTATGTAAGCATTGAATCATTTTCCTAGTATCAATTGAGTAGGATTTTTCTTGGACAGTTCTTTGTAATTCCTCTCTTCAACATTCCCTTGAGACTCATCAGAGATTGGATTAGATGATTTTTAAAGGTTCCTTTCAACCCAAACCAAGCTATGGTTCAATGGCTGTATATCTGGTGCTTAGCTGTGTTCGTTTTACAGCAATGATTTATGATCTTGAATGCAGAGCCAATGACATACGTTGTTCCTCGTTGTTCCTTAGTGACTTCAATAAATATGAAGTTGTGAATGAATGTTGCTATCAGAACAGCTTTCCCAGTGCTTAAAAATATCTGAGTTAAGTAGTATGAAGCGCCAGTAGTTTCTCATTATAATGTTCATGCCTAGGAGTGTTTAAATCACATTTTTTACAGAGCTTTGATTTATAGTACAAGCTATTTATATCTCTATATAGGTGATGTTGTAAAAACATGTGATCTTTAAATAATTTTACAAAAGAGATATGTAGGAATATTGGCCTAGACTTGAGTGCAAGCAGGTGAGAGCTGTGTGCTTCGGCCTCCCGCTCCAGCTCCCTGGCGAGCAGAGCTGAGTCTCGGTTCCTCTGACTCCCCGCATCTTCTCCGCGAAGCCATATGCTGCAGATCCGCTTCTCGACACCAAAGGGAGAGAGCGTTTAGGAACTGGGCGAGCAGAACAGCGAGAAAACGTTTAAGGAAATCTTCAAGAAAAAGAAAATATGAATGGCGCAGAACGGTTTGGGTGGGAAAGGCATTTTAGCGATCACCTGGTTCCACCCGCTGCCGCGGGCAGGGTCACCGCGAAAGCGCCTCGCTGGGCGAGACAGCGAGCTGGGCAGTGCCGGCGCTCCACGCGAGCCCGCCGTTCCTGCCGCCGTGTCCCTGTGCCCGGCCGGGCCACCGCGGCCAGGGGCTGCTGCTGTCGCTGCCGCTGTCGCCGCGGCTGTCGCTGCCGCCGGAGGGCAGCACAGCTCCACGCAAGCGGCGGCACCGGGGGCGGCAGCGGCGGGGGCCGCGCAGCGCTCGCCGGTGGGCACGATCCGGGCTGGGCAACGCCGACAGCGCGGGCTGGAGGGCTGGATCCCGCAGGACACTGCCTTTGGCCTGTGGCCGCGGTTATTGCCAGCGACAGGGGGGTCGCTGATGTGAAGGCAGCGGTATCGTGCGTCCCCCGCTGCGTGTTTCTTCAGGCGCTCCCTTGTGATTCACACCCTGTTTGGATCCTCAGCCTCCTCGTCACGTTTTATAGGATACCTTGAATTTAGTATGTGAATCAAATGCATTCTATCAGGGTCAGGGAAATGTTTTGTTTGGTTGATTGTTCTCTGTGCTGGTGTATAGCAAAATACCAACATGGCTATTCCATACAGCGATTTTCTTTCAAATTTGGGAGAAGTTTGCATGGTCCCTCTCTGACAGTTCTCCATCCATAAGTAATGTCACTTATTCACAGTGATGAATGCATTTGAGGTCGATTGTCCTCTACATGTGACTGAAACAATAGTGCAGGTAAATTGGGCTGTGATTTTTACCATGGCACATGATTGAGAGCTCACTGGCAAACACACACCAACCTCTCACTGTGTTAGAAAATGGCCTGTTTTGCCAGTAGCCAAGGTGCCTCTGTAATTGGCCAAGTCATGCCTTCTTCCAGAAGAGTTACAGAGAGCTCATGAAGTTGTGTAGAGGTGTGACATGCTGTGGGAATTGGTGTGAGTAGGCTCTTCAGAGGCATTCTCTCTACCAAAACAATCCAATTCCATCATCTGGGTAGCGAGGACTGCCTGTTATCTTGAAATCTTTTACCTTTGGCCTCTTAGCTAAGATTCCATAAAAGACAGCACTTAGAACAGTGACTTTTGTGATACAAATCCTTTTCCAATAGAGAGCAGTCTGAATTCATCAGTCATTCAAGGATCTCCTAATCATCAGCTAATACAGACTCAGTGACTCTCAGTGCAGAGACTGGATCTGAGCAAAGGGTGAAAGTCTGGTTTTCACTCCCTTCTTTACTGGTATTTCTGAAAACTGGAGTCAAGACTCTATTGAGCCCAGGTAAGACACACCTGGAGATCCCCAGTATGAAAGAAAGTCATGCACATGGTGGAGAAAGTCAAGCAAAGGACCAAGAAGATTGTTGAAGGACTGGAATGTCTCTCCTGTGAAGGTGAGGCAGAGAGAGCTGGGATTGTCCAGGCAGGAGAAGAAAAAGCTAAGGATATCCATGGATATAAATACCTGAGGGCAGGGGGCTGAAGAAGAGGGGGACAGATTTTGCTTAGTCCTACTGACTGACAGTAAGTCCTGCGAGGAGGGAGCTGAGATTGTTTAGCCTGGAGAAAAGGAGGCTCAAGGGAGACCTTATTGCTCTCTACAACTACCTGAAAGGAGGCTGTAATCAAGCAGGGGTCGGCCTCTTCTCCCAGAGAGCTAACGAAAGGATGAGAGGAAATGGCTTCAAGCTGCACCAGGAAGATTTCAGGTTGGACATCAGGAAGAATTTCTTCACAGAAAGAGTTGTTAAGTATTGGAATGAGATGCTCAGGGAAGTGGTGGAGTCACTATCCCTGGGGGTGTTCAAGTAACAACTGGATGTGGCATTTAGTGGCATGGTCTAATTGACAAGGTGATGGTCAGTCAAAGGTTGGACTTGATGTTCTTGGAAGTATTTTCCAACCTAAAGGATTCTGTGACAGGAAAAGGTGCAGCGGTCACAAATTAAAAGACATGACATTCCCTCTGAATACAAGAAATCACATTTTTACTTTAAGGGTGGTCAAACATGGGAACAGGTTGCCTAAAGACGTTGTGAAGTCTCTGTCTGTGGAGACAAAATTTGAAGGTAAATGATCCTGGGAAACCCACTGTTACTGACCCTATTTGAGCAGAAGGTGGGCCTCAGTAATCTCCAGAGGCACCCTCCAGCCTCAGCCATCCTGTGATGCTGTAAAGTATGAAAACTGTGCCATCCTGCAAAAGTCTCTCCACATTTCTCCAAACCATTTCACAACTGTGTCTGGTAGTGAAATGATGAGAACAACCTTGCTGATGTGAGAGGTGTTTAGAGTCTGATAGACTCTGAAGCATTTAATGTATTTCTGAATGATAAGGAGGGATATTGATAGACTTTTTTCTCTCCTGTAATGCCATAAACGCCATAAAACATGACCAGTTTGCTGCGTTTCACTTGTCTGCTGGGCCATGCTTCAGAGAGGGCTCCTTTTAGAACCTGGTATTTTGGTGGTTTGTTCTGTGTATCCCAGTGGCAATAGGGAACTACTTCCCCGAGTTTTGTGAAATGTGGCTGGAGGCAGGATAACACAGGGAAGGATTGCTCAGAGATAGAGTTGTTCCCTTTTTATGTAGCACAGAAGACATCAGTGGTGCCATTGGGAGAGAGAGGCAGATGCCCACCTGCAGTTTTCCAGCAAAATTCCAGCTGGTTGTGAGAAGTAACACCTTTAACAAGCAACACTGATACTTCTGTGTGCTATTTGTTGTGATTCTCAGATCTGGAGGTTCAAAGGTTCACCTGAATCTAATCCTGAGCAGGGCGCTTTCTGCATGGATTCAGTTTAGAAATGAATGAAAGGCTGCATTTTCTCTTTGCCACTTGATCTGTCTGCTATGGGCAACCTTCAGACCATTTCCACATAATAGACTAACAGCTGAGCAAATGTTCAGGGTGTGCCTGAATGCTGTTGTTGTGGATTAATACAATGTCCTAAGAGTCACTGTTTCTGAAAAACACTCAGGCACCTTTCAGAGGTCCTTACTCCAAGACTAGAACCCCGGGTTCTGGAAGCCTTATTTCTGAAAAATGTCTGTCAAGAAATGTAATGACTTTGTATTAGAGACTATTTGTGTTAGAGACTTTGCCCCATTAGACAA